TGAAGATACCAGAGTAAAACAACTATTGATAATCTCCTACCTCTTTTGTCTGTAACTCACTATTATTTGTCTATTTGTTTTCCTGAGAAACTATCTTGCAGATAACAACATGTAAAACAATAACCATTGATAATTTCCTACCACTTTGTCTGTAATTTGGTAAGCCCCTCCTATTATTATGTTATCCTTCTTTTACTCTATAAAACTAAAAAAAAAAAAATTACTACACAAAAATCAGTAACATTTCTATACACCAAAAATGAGCTCACTGAGAAAGAAATCAGGAAAACAAACCTATTCCATTAGCTTCAAAAAATTAAATACCTCAGAACTAACCTAACCAAGGAGGTGACAGATCTCTGTAACAAAAACTATACTCCTCTAAAAAGATTGAAGAGGACATCAGAAAATGGAAAGACATCCCCTGTTCTTTGACAGAATAAACACTGTCAAAATAACCATATGACCAAACACGATTTAACACAAAGGTTTAACACAATCCCTGTCAAACTACCACCAGCATTTGTCACAGAACTAAAAAAAAAATTATAAACTTTATGTGGGAACAGAAGGGACCTAGAATAGCCAAAGTAATCCTGGGCAACAAGAGCAGCAGGAGATACTATAATCCCAGATTTCAATTATACTACAAAACCACTGTAATAAAAATAGCATGGTGCTGGCATAAGAACATATTGACCAACAGAACAGAATAGTGGATGAAGAAACAACCCCAAGCACGTTCAGTCAGCTGATCTTTCTTTAAAGTTTTTTTTTGTGTGTGTGTGAGGTGGGTTTTTTTTCTTTTTTGGTACCGGCAATCGAACTCACGACCTCGCACTTGCTGGGCAGGCGCTGTGTTGTTGAGCTATATCCCCAGCCCAAGTCAGGTGATCTTTGATAAGGGGGCCAATAATGTACACTGGAAAAAAGACAGCCTCTTTAATAAATGGTGCTGGGAAACCTGACTGTCTATCTCTGAACACCTCTGAACCTTTTTTACGGTCATTCTTCCATTTTCTTACAGACAGGGCTGTAGCCTAGACCTGGAGGAAGGGGTCTGAAAACCTTCCTTCATTCTGTCCCACTTTCTCTGTCCCCTCTAGTTCAAGATGACAGTGTCCTTGTTGATATAACACTATCTCTGTCTCTGGCCTCCCTTCATATGATGGTTGACTGTCCACCAGTCACATCCATATCTCTTTATCAAATACCTGCTCAACCACAGCCCTAATGTCCTCTTCAAAACAAGCTTTTGCACTGTTTGAAATATGGATCAGCTGAGAATTTTTCAAATCTTTAGGTTCTGGTTACTTCATGCTGTCCAGTTCATCTTTCTCCTTTTACATTCTACTATAAGCAATCAGAAAGGACAAAGGCACTCCTTTAACATTTTGGTTAGAGATCTTCTTAGCTAAATAACCAATCTCATCACTTGTAAGTTCACTCTACCTTCCTTAAGATCCCAGGTTACAGTTAAGTTTAACCTTTGCCACTTTATAACACAGTTCATCTTGCTTCCAGTTTCTAAAACACAGTCCTCATTTCTATCTGAGACCTTGTGGAAGTCTCCCTCACCAGCCATATTCCTAGTATATGCCTCAAAATTCCTCTAGCTTAAAAAATAAATAAATAAATAAATCTTCTAACCTATACCCACTACTCAGTTTCAAAGGTGTTTCACCATTTTTAGGTTCTTATAATGTTAGTTCCTTACTTCCCAGTGCCAAAATCTGCCTTAGTCTGTCCAGGTTACCATAATAAAATACTATAGACTGGGTATAATTACACAGTAGAGTTTATCTACTCAAAGCTCTAGAAGCTAAGAAGTTCAAAACCAAAGTGCCAGCCCACTCGGTTCCTAGTGGGGCCCTCTTCCTGTCTCATGGATGGCTACCTTCTCCCTGCATCTTCCCATGACCACTCTTCAGTGTATGAACACAGAAGGAAAGATCACTCTTTTTAGAAGGTCAGCAGTCCTCCTGAATTAGGACCCCACCCTTACAACCCCATGTAACCTTACTGATCATCCAAATTCCCTATGTTCAAATAAAGTCATACTGGAAGTTAAGGCTTCGACATATGAACTTTGGGGGGTATAATTTAGTGTAGGTAGAAAATTTTATATTATGTATATTGTGCCACAATTTTAAAAACAAAGTAAAAAGCAATATGGCATATCAGAAGATACAATCAGTAGAAAACTCATAATACATCCAAACAAAAAGGTACATCCATACAAGGAAATATCATTCAACTTTACAAAAGAATGCGCTATTAAGCCATGAAAAGATGTAAAAAACTTTAAATGTACACTATTGTGTAAAAGTCCGCCTGAAGGCCAGGTGTGGTGGAGTACACCTGTAATTCCAACACTCAGGAGGCTGAGGCAGGAAGACCACTGTAAACTCAAGGCCAGCTTGGACTACAAACTGAGTTCAAGGTCAGCCTGAAGTACATAGTGAAACCCTGTCTCAAAAAGACAAGAAAAAAAAAGTCCATCTGAAAAGGCTATATAGTGTATAATTTCTACCGTGTCATATTTTGAAAAAGACAAAATTATGGAGACAGCAAAAAGATTGGTGGTTGGCAGGAGTGTGGGGTTGGAAGGATGAGGAGAGGGATAAATATGTGGGATCCAAGTGATGTTAAGGCAGGGAAACCATTCTGTACGATGGTCTACCATCTTGCTGAGGTCACAGAATAGGGAGGCAAAGATTCACCCCCAGTTCTGTAACTCTAGAGTATACAAACTTTCTGTTAATCTAGGGCCACTTACTCCAACTGCTTCAGGAGCTGAAGGAAAATAAAACGTACCACTATAAATCCACTGCTACGACCAATTTTAATTGGACCCTCACCTATTCCTCCAAATAAGAAAGACCATATTAACTATAAAAATTTAACTTTAGGAAAGAAAAAGGCAACTGTGGAAGAAAAATATAACCTTAGCCTGTCAAATCAGAGAATACTGTTAGCCTATGCCCAACTTGAACTTGATGAACCAGGATCCATCTTTACTATTAAGGAAGAATACATACTTGCAATATGATTGAGGAATCTATCCTCTCTTCCAAAGATGTCTGACGGTTTTATGATAGTGGCTTCTGGAAATGCGTCTCTCACTTCTTTCTCTCCAACAGCCTACACAAACCAAAAACAAAACTCTTCTAAGAGACCCTGCCCTTATAACATCTGTTGGAGTTCTTTCCATTTTTATTCCAGGGGAGCTTATGCTGAAGAAGAAAAAAGAAAAGTCAGAGCAGTTTTTCCAGCCTCCAGTTTTCTTCCTATTCACATGGCCTCCAATCTGTATAAACAACTTGGCAGCCTGCCAGAGAAGGAGCAGGACGGGCTTCCTAATCTTAGCGGCTGTCAGTTACCATCTACTTCCCTCCCAGATAAAGCTGCTTTCCCACCTCTCGCACTGCTGTGGATGATATCAATGCCCAAGTGAATGTGGACTTCTTGGGTTCCTAAGCTTCTCAAAGACCTCCTCTTCACTCCTCCTCTGGCACTCTCAGCTCAGTTACACCACAGATCCAACCAACAACAGAAAGGCCTGTCTTAAACACTAGAAGAAGACATCTTGCTCTCCCTCCAATGACAATCTACACATCCAGTCTGCCTATTGTTTCATCTGCTCCTGGGACACCTGGTCTCCAACCTTCTCGGGAACTCTGGCCCACTGATTCTGTTTTTCCTACATCGACTCCCCCTACCTTTCCTGACCTTCCCTCTGTATCCCAGATTATATTCCATGGTCCATTTTTTCATCCTCTTACCTAGGTACCTCGTAAACTACCTTGTGCCTGCATCCTTTAACCACCCACCAGGCAAAACCTTAATCTTGCTTTACTTCCACTGTCTTTAACAACTTTAGGAAAATAAATAAATACAAATCATAAATCGGTACCAGTATAAATCCATGCCACGGATTTTAACTGGGCTCTTGTTTTTCCCAGAAATACTGTTTTTCTCTAACTGATTTATTCTCCCACATAGCATTTCTTTTCTTTTTCCCCACATAACATTTCAAGAATTTTCTATTTCATTCAAATTTCAGGCTTCTCTTTCTTTCCTCTTCCTTCTAGTAAATGACTTTACTTTCTAATTCAAAGAGAAAACATAAACATAAGAGCAGAAAAAAACCATCGCAAGTCCTCATCACTAAATTTATAAACTCAAGTGTTTAAACTCACTGCTGTCTCCCCTTTCCTTTTTTTTTGTTTGTTTTTTTCCGGTGCTGGGAATTGAACTCACAATCTTGCACTTGCTAGGCAGGCGCTGTGCCGCTGAGCTAAATCCCCAGCCCATCTTCCCTTTCCTACCATGATAGAGAAGCAGAGCCACATCCTGGGCTCTGGAGCCCCCTTCTGCAGGGGTCTGGAGCCCACCTCCTTTCCCCTTCTAAGAAATCTGCCCAATTTTCTGTCTGTCCTATACGTTCGATCTTGCTCTCTTTAGCAACACCTACCACCACTCTTTATACAATGGTGATCTTTTATATAAATGCATAAAAAGGCCCAACTCCACATCCCCTCCCAGCTTCTACCTCTTTTCTTGCTCTTCCAGCCAACTACTTGCAAATGTGCCTACCCTCCCTCTGCATGCTGCCTTTGTTCCAGCTCACCCTTACTTAACTGTCCTCTGGATTCTGAGTCAATGCTTGTACTAAAACTATTTTTAAGGTGACTTTGGTAAGATGATCTTAATGTTAACAGATCCAAGACTTTCCAGTTCTCTTCTTGCTTGCCTTCTCAGTAGCATTCGTAAATACATTTTCCTTCTTCTAGTGACAGCTTTCCCTAGCTTCCAGACGTGCAGCTCCTCTGATTTCCTTTCTACCTTATCATATCCACTCCAGCTCAGTGCATTTGTTTGTCTATATTTGGTTTTTGCATGTATCTCCTCCTCTACCAGAGAACTAATCATGGTTCTTACTTCCAAGCCCAGTTCAAGGTTCTCTTCTCAACCTACATTTACTCATGAGGCCATTTCATGCCCTTTTGCTACTCCAACTGACAACAAATGGTGGCTGACTTCCAAATCTGTATCTACAACCCAATCTCTCTCCTGGCTTCAAGGTCATAAACCCATTTCACCACAGTTACCCTGAAACCCAAGTCCAAAACTGAAACACTTTCTACTCCCTCAGGTAAAATACTCCTTCTCAATCTTTGCTGCTCTTTGAATAATTGAGAGAGTTTTAAAAACTACTAATACTCATGTTTCACGCCCAGAGATTTTGTTTTAATTGGTCTGGGGTACACCCTGGGTGTCAGGAATTTTTATGGCTCCCTTAGTGATTCTAATTTGAAACTAAGGGTAAGAACCCGGCCCTGGAAGCCTAGTTTTTCTCACATATCTGTACCAACAGGACCACCACCTACACAGTGGCTTAAGCCATGGAGCTAGATGGCTTTGACACTCCTCTTCATCCCTTCCAAACATCTGCGCAATCCAGACAACTCCAGGTGCCAGGGCAGGTAACAGTACGCACGCTCTCCTTTTCATTCCCTTTCTCTGCCCAAGGCAGCCTTCACATGACCCAGGGCCCGTCAGCCAGCTCTATGCCTACGCAAGGCATAGCTACAGCGCTTATGCAGAGAGGTCAGAAGGGACAGAAGCAGAGAACAAAGCTGGAGGCCTGATCCTTGGCGCCCTCTGTGGCTGAGGTTCTCTATCACCGAATCTCTTAGATAATCTCTTTTACGTTTAAACCAGTTCACACAGACTTTTCTGCTGCTAATAATGATATGTTCCTAACAGGTATTCTCTCTCCTATCATCTGCTCCTGTAGCAGTTTGCCACTTTGTGACACTTGGTGCATCTAGAATTATTTTCCCCAGAGAACCAGAACCTTACTATGGACTAGGATCAGGTTTGTTTTACTGACCACTGTATCCCCAGCGCCTAATAGAATATGTGGGCACAGAGTTAGTGCTTAACAAACGATGTTTGATAAATGAATACAGTGAACCAAAAGGTTGGAACCACTTTCCAGGCTGCCACTGTTCTTACTGGTATGATTATAGATGGGCACATGATGGCAGAAGGCGCATTCTAAGGGCAGACCAGACCCTCATATTCCTTGTCAATCCCTGAGAACAAAGATTCCAAAACACAGTGGTCAACCCCTAGCTATAATCTGGACTCCTATGTGGTTTCTGGGAGAATAGAAGACTAAATTCTATGTGAAGAGCTACTTTCCTTAGCAGGTATTTCACCCTGTCCTTCTCAGTCTTCACGACATCTATGGTATGAACCTGTGACTATGCAAGAAGCCTGAGAAAGAAAAATGATCCTTTACCCACAGAGGTGACACAGGTAAGCTTCCTTTGGCGAGATGCATACTTTTCCTTTCAGGGTGCTTTCTGTGTGCTTCTATCATATCCCAGAGCAACTTGAAGCATCTGAGGGCAGGTAGTAATATGGTCTGCCCACTTTTGAAACCTCTCAACATTTAAACAGAAGGTATTCAACCAAAATGCCAGAAAACAGTATACATATACCCAATGCTGGCGGTAGAGAAGTCTTCTGAATTTTCAACATATTGATGAGAAACTTTTCTTATTCACATCATGTTTTAAAGGGGCCAAGAAACTCTAGCTCTGCAAGGCAGTTGCCCAATCAGGAATTTTTCTGCTAAGGAAACCAGCTCTTCACATAGAATTTAGTCTTCTATTCTCCCAGAAACCACACAGGAGTCCAGATTATAGCTAGGGGTTGACCACCATGTTTTGGAATCTTTGTTCTCAGGGACTGACAAGGAATATGAGGGTCTGGTCTGCCCTTAGAATGCGCCTTCTGCCATCATGTGCCCATATTAGAGTCTTGTTAGTTACCTTATTTCTCAGGTATCTAGAAGAGCTTTTAATGTCAGCATTCAGATGAGAAATATGAATTAGTTTTTCAACTCCAGCTTCCTTGGATGCTTGAGCTATTGCTCGGGGAATCTTCACAAAAACATCCTCAAAATCAAAGTTTCTAGAAGAAAAAATAAAGGATTAGTTAAGACCACCCCCACACTTACCATTTCAAAGCTTTTTGTGGTATGCTAGTTTTCACAATAGTACTAGAATTCATAACAAACTTTTAAACAGTTTTGCTTTAGTTTATAGGTCAAAATTAATGTTTCTCAAAGGTGATGAGCCAGCTCACTGTCATTACTGTACCTAGTACAACTCTAAGTTGTAAAACCAGCACATGCAATATTCTGTGTTCTCAAGGAATTCTGAGGCTAAACCCATTTAAGAAAACCTGGCTTTCTAGGCATGGTGGTGCATAGTTACAATCCCAGTACTTGGGAGGAGGAGGTAGGAAGATCTCCATGAGTTCAAGGCCAGCCTGGGCTTCACAGTGAGTTCAAAGCCAGCCTGAACTACATACTGAAATCCTATCTCAAGAAAAAAGAAAAAAAAATCTAGTTGTATGGTTAGTGATGAGGAAGGAAGTATTGGGAGCTAGAAAGAGAAATACTCCTTACTCTCCCACACTTTATTTTTCTTGAGGGTAAAAAATGAAACTTAAAAAAAGGGTACCAATTCAATGCATAATGTTTACTGTGTAGAAGTCACTATATTAGTCATTAAAAGAGATATAAAGTTAAATAAGATCTTATATGTCATCAAAGAATTTGAAAAATATTTACAAACAAATAGATACAAACAAATCTAAGGCAACATTTTTACAAATGCAAAAACAGTGTGGTTCTGTAAGATAAAAACATTATTTTCTGGTAATTCGCAGGAAGGCTAAACAGACTTGTTCAAACACTACTTATACCATCTTTCAACTATTAATGCACAGAAGCAATCTAAAACATTGCCTACACCAATGAAAACCAATGTTCTGCTTGCTGAACCATGAACCAGGCAAAATCCAACTTCCTAACCCCAGCCCAGATGGACAAATCTAAGCACAGGTCCAACTCCAGTCCTGGTCAAGTTGGTAACACCAACCACACTGTCAGACATGGACCACCACACCACCATGACCCTGACATGCTGAAAACCATACCAGCTTTGTACAGCAGCACATCACACTGCTGCCTCACACCACACATACCCTCACCTATGTCTAGGGCTATCCCTGGGATGTACACGGACACCCAATCAACACTTACTGATGATCTAATTAAAACAGTCACTACAGGGCCAGGGATATAGCTCAGTGGTACAATACTTGCCTGGCAAGCACAAGGTCCCAAGTTCAATTTCCAGCACCAAATAAAAAAGTCACTACAATGCCAAGAGATGTGTACTGAGCCCTAAGACAGACTTATGAAAAAAAAAACAAAAAAAAAAAAAAAAAAACGAGATTCCCAAAACTCACGTGGTTTCCCAGTCTCGTCCGACAAGGTTGATGACCACATTGCTGTGCTGCACGGCTCTTCGGATAGACTCTTTGTCTCTCACATCCCATTCCTGTTAACAGTCAGAGGAAAACAGAGGGCACATGGTATGCTTAGCACTTTGGGGGCTCCCAAAGCAAGGTTCAGAACAGGCGATCTGTGTCATCTTTCTATGGTGCCATTTCACACAGGCTCCATGAGGTACAACCAAAACGATGCTGAGGCTTCAGATTCCCTGCAGATCTGACTGTTCTGCAGACAAACAGGTCAAAGCCTGTTTTACTCAGGTATCCAAATGAGAGACCTCAAAAGGGTCTGCTCATATTTCATGGAACATATTAATCTTGTCCACCCAACTGCTCCTTACGTTGGTAAAGGATTCTAGTAATCAAAGTCTCCTGAAACACAGCCAAAGAACAAAGGACCACTGGGGAGGGAAAAGAGACTTCCTCTTGTTGGCAGCAACCAGTTGCAGACTAAAAATAGGAGGAGCATCCTTTACATGTCCACATCAAAGGGGCACTCCTGACTATATACTTCCTTATGTTTTTTAACTCCTGTTTTATAATCTCAGCTCCGGTAATTTCTACTTTAAAAATATGAAAACAGACCCAGTGTGATGGCACACACCTGAAATCCCAACACTCTGGGAGGCTGAGGCAGGCGAATTACAAGTTCAAGTTCAGCTCGGGCAACTTAACAACTTAATGAGACCCTGTTTCAAAACAAAAAATAAAAATGGCTGGGGATATAGGTCAGTGCAAAGGCCTTGCATTCAATTCCCAATACAGGGTGGGGAAAGACCTGAAAACAAGAGTCCGAGAGAAGTGTACTGCCTAACCTCTCAGGTTTTAGCACAGAACTATATACTTCTGAGCAGTTCATAAACGAATGAGAACTTAAGTCAGGTTGATGAACCTGCCTAAAACAGTGACTAGGGATTAAGTAATCCCAGAAAAAAGAAGAGTATACTGATAAACAGAAACTGAACCTTGTGAGCATTTCAATGGAAGATAGTAAAAAGTATTTCCTAGGGCCAAGTACTATGCGCCTGTGGGTGAGTCCGTGTGCTGGGAGGGGAGGGAGTGAGGAGAGAAAAGAGAAGGTGGGGAGACAGAAGGTGGACACGAATTTCCTCAAACTTCTGTGCAAGTTAGAAAAGAGGGAGATCAGCTTCAAGAGTACAAAGACCAAGGCCCAGCAGGAAGGATGGGATAGAACTGCTGATAGCGGAGTACAGAAAACTCTAGAGAATGGTAGTGTTGGAGTCACACAGAAACGCAACCCTAGTTTGCTATGTCTGCCTAGTTTACCACTAATTTTGGACAAGTTATCTCTCCAAGCACCATGTAAAAATAGAAAATGCAACCTAACTGGTGTGGGAGATGAGATGAAATATAGTAAAACCTGCAGCACAGTGCGGAACATACTCAACAATTAGCTCTATACATGAAGAGATAAAAAGAGGCTTTTTCAGAAAAGATGCCAAGGGTCAGGGAGGAAGGAGTCAAGATGACTCAGAGTAGATGTGCTTGAGGCATAACTGCACCAAGTGCCCACGAGCCTGGAGGAAGGACCAAAAGGAAAGCAGATTCTCAGGGATAAGGTCCAGACAGCACAATAAACCAAGCAGTTTGGACAATAATTTCAAACAGGGACTAATGTAGGGAAATCACACCCCACCTCCAAAATAGGCTTTCCTTTTTAGAAATAACCACATAAATTAACAGCTAAACAATGAGCTGAGTCCCCCAAGACATGCTCAGAGCTCAACTCAATGCCAGACAATCGGTAAATAAGTATCTCCAAGAATAAGAGAATAAATGTCCAATGGCTCCGTGTCAAGAACACAGATTTGCAAGCTAGTCAATGGTTTTACCTAGCAGTAAGGTCACCAATGAAAAGAAGCAGGGGAAAGTCAAGCTCTTACAACAACAATAACAAGAAATGATAATAAAATGTTAGAAAAGAAAAACATATTGGAAACAAGAAATGTCTAATGTAAGTATTATGAGCATTCCGTAAGGAACAGGAATACCATGTCAGAGATATTAAGGATGTTTACCCAATGTTTTCCAAAAGAAAAGTGAGTAAATGGAAGCATTTAGTTCCACAGAGAAAGGTAGGAGTAGGAAGCAACTAAAGGCACAGTGAAGCCAAGCATCTGGCTGAGAGGGCAGCAGCAACCACTAGAACAGCTCAGGCATTTTTCAGACAGTGTAACTCTGTGTGGGAAGGTTCTGCTCTGGACGCTATAGGGCAGTGACAGCAAACCTTCTAGAGACAGTGCCCAAACTGCTCATGAGGACATCGCCCACAACTCATTACTCCATACCAAGCATGCACACGGCCCTTCTGTGCACTGTGCCTGATGCTCAGCTGACCCTAGGGGGCCAAAAAAGAGGGCTCTGCATGCTCACTGCGGCACACATGCTGCAGTGGTCTGCCACCACTGCGGTAGGATATTTAGCATCCTTAGCCTCTACCTGAGGACTCACACTGCTTTCCAACTGCTGTAACCCAAAGGAGCCCCACATATTCCCAGCTCTCTCTGTTCTTCCCCCTGCCTTACAATACTAGCACTACTGGCCTAAAGGAAAAGCTGCAGATTAAAGAGTGACAAGGAATGCTTATAAAGCACTGTTCTACATTAAATCTGCGACAAGCAAACTAAGTTATAAAGCATCCTGCTCATAATTTGTTTTTGTCAATGAAAGTACTGTTCAACAGAAATATAACACCAATTGTATTTTGAATTTAATAATTCAAATTATTCATAATTCAAATATTTCAAATCATTCAAATTATTCATAATTTGAATAAATAATTAATTCCTAATTCTGAATTTACTACTTTCTGAATCTTTTACTTTCTGAATTTTCTATTAGGCACATTTGCAAGAATAAAAAGAAATCTACTTTAATAATATGTTTCATTTAACTTGAAATTTCTAAAATATTTCAATATGTAATAACTGTAAAAACTACTGATATTTTTGAATATTATTTTCTTCAAACTAAGTCTCTAAAATCTGTATTTTAGACCTATAGTACAACTTGATTTAGACTAGGAATATTTCAAGTGCTTTTCATGGAGTAGCAGGTACCACATGTGGCTAGCAGCTACCACACTAGACAGTATTAGACTAGAGCGGAGGTTAGCAAGCCATAGCCTTCAGGCCAAAAAAATGTGGCCTACAGCCAAGTGTTGTGATGTACACCTGTAATTCTAGCACTTGGGAGGCTGAGGTAGGAAGACTGCTGCAAGTTTCAGGCCAGCCTGGGCTACATCGTGTGTTCAAGGCCAGCCTAACTACATAGCAAGACCCTGTCTCCAAAAACCAAAAAAAAAAAAAAAAAAAAATGGCCTACAGCTTAATTTTTGTAAATAAAGCTGGAATATAGGCACACTCACTGGTTTATATACTGTCTATGGCTACTTGTGAGCTATAAGGATAGAGCTTAGTGATTATGACAAATGCTCTATGACCTGCAGAGCCTAAATTTTTACTATCTGGTCCCTTACAGAAAGTTTGCCAATTGTTAGCTGGGTAAGGAGGCACACAGCTGTAATCCCAGCATTTGGGAGACTGAGGCAGGAAGAGCACTGTGAGTTCCAGGCCAGCCTAGACTACACATTAAGTTCAAGGCCAGCCTGAACGACATACTGAGACCCTGCCTCAAAAAGCCAAAAAAACAAAAGAATAAGAAAGTTTGCCAGCTGCTGATCTAGAGTTTGCATACCAAGTAAAGAGATGCAGGAACTTAACTGAAAGAATCTCCTCCTGAAAGAAGACAGGCTGCCCTGGACTCATTCTGGGATAACATTCCTGCTTTATTATACTGCCTCTTACTCCTAAGACGACCTGAGTAATTTATATTTGCTAACTCCAATTATCAGTCATCAAGGTCTTACCAGAAAGATAATCTGGCCCAGGTCACCCATGGGTCGAAGATGCATGGTGTCATAAGTATCACATCGATAAGGCAGGATCACCTGTGATCCCATCCGTCCTAAAATGAAAGATTGAAAAAGGATCAACATCTACAAAGTATAATAGTATACAATAATGGTACAGTCGAGATTTAAATTCTGGCATGATATGTGGGTTGATAGTATATTTAACAAAAAAGTGTATCTTCCCACGCTAAAGATGCCATAACTTTCCAGGCTCCCTTACTCCCATCTTAATGTCCTATATAGAAAGCACAGATGTATTCTAAATCTAATAGCACATAAAGGCAAGACAGAAGTTGGGTACCGCTAAAATGAAAAGCCCAGCTCATGGCCTCTCACCAGATAATCCTAATGAAGGGTAGGAAAGCACACCGAATTTGAAAATGTTTCTTACCAAGGTGGTTGACAACATATCGTCCCAGGAATCCTGTTGCTCCAAACACAGTGGCCACAACTCCACTGACAGAGGAACGCCCACCTTTGCCATGAGGGATGACTGCGTGATGGAGCTGGCGGTAAGGAATGCCATGAAATGCAGATGTGGCTACTGCAGTAATAGCAGAACCTTAAACAAAACCCCAGAGTACATAAAAATGGCAAATGTTAGTAGAAAAGTAACTGAGAAAGCATAACTTCTTTCCCTGAAAACTTGTAACACTATTTTGTGATCAGTGTCTTAGTAACAGAAGTAGCAATAGCATTAATAAAGTATTACAGCAGAAAACCCCTAGACCACCAGAAAATATATAAAAATAAAAAGTAAACTCCATGTCCCCATGGGATATAATTTATCTAGAAAAATAAATCACATTAAGTCATATTATCATGAGAAAGGACTCTTGGGTAATGTGTTTTGAGAGAGGTTTTCAAGAAGAATAACAGGAATAGTAGAATTCCTTGAGAAACAGTAAACAGATATAACAGAGTAAGACTAATGCAGGGTAGCAGCAAAAGACCTTTGTAAAACAGATTCTGAAACTGATGACTCATGAAAAATACAGTCGTAGTATAGGTTAGAGGCAGAGAATCGTTGGTACAAAGCATTTAAAAGTACAGATCAAATAAAATAAAATAAAATAAAAGTACAGATCAGACTTAACTGAAAAACATCAAAAGTGAGGAGGAGAATGTGCTTGAGAAAAAAATTTTTTGACTTTGAGAAAGGTAAATAGCAAGTGATTTGTCAAATTTCCCACCACTTCATCTCGTGGACTCATGGCCCTAGGAGAAGCCTTCAAAATCTGTGCCCTGATGCAACATCTCCACAGTTATGTGTGCAAACCGAAGTCCTGTCCTTAGCCTCAACATCTGTGGGATGAAAAACACTATTTCTTGTAGCAGCCTCTACCTGACAGGAGCCATCCTAACAGCTGCAGATCTTATCATCAGAAGACCTTATTCTTGTTTTCTTCAGGAGGGTCTAAACCCTCTACTATATCTAAGTATAGCAATTATACCCCACTTAGTATTATACCCCAATATTCTCTTCTGCAGGTTAGCATCTCTAGTTCTACCAACTACGCCTCACTCTAAATCTCCTTAGATATACTCTAATTTGCTAGTGTCTTCTAACTTCCTAGAGCAGAGTCTTAGAGAGAGACAATAGGATAGAATGCAAGGTAAAGGAACTGAGATGGGCTAGGCAGCTGAAAAATGTTTGAAAGGGAATGAATAAATGGTGAGTGAGGAAGTCAGTACAGATAATATGATACATGACAGGGAAAATGGAAGAGCCAATAAAACAGAAAGAATTACCAGGGACAAGGAAGCAACACCTCAAAGGACTGTTATAAGGACTAGAATAAATGTACATAAAGCATTTAGCATATTGTCTATCACAAAGCAAGCTAGGTATTACTATACAAATGACAGTAGTTTTCATTTACTATTACTTTGAAATTCCTCAGAAGGTAACTAACCCAATATGGTTACTTGTTTTTTCAACAATTATGGGCCAAGCACTATTCTTGAAACTGAATTGCACAGAAAAAAAAGACACTATTAGGTGAAACTCACAATTTAGGGAGTTAGGATGAGAATTAATATATAATATGGAAAAGCATCCATCACAGTGTCCTGCATATAGCAGGAGATTAATAAATATAAATTCTCTTTGGCTTAAGTCTCTCCCTTATTTCCATTTAATATGTGGGAGAATAATATTTTTCATTATGTATTCACTATATTCCTTTGCTCAAAAACTTCATTTCCCACTATAATATCCAAACCAACTGTCCAGAACATTTGCTTGCACACCACATTGTTTTAAAAGGTATTTATTTAAAATTACAGGTATTTACAGTACCAATATAGTACACATTTTAAAGCATACATTACAGCATGCAGAATAGTGCCTGGTATACAGTTTGAACTACATACATATTAGCTATTTATATTATTACAGAAAAAATTTTAAGTTGTAATGCTTTTTTATGTCTCATTAGTTCCTCTTGTAAAACTGACTGTAGAGATCACTGTTCTAAACTCTGCTTGGCTTTCACAGGCTTCCATAACACATCCAACTTCTTTCTTTCCTACTATCCCAGATATACATAGTCACTTCACTTTTTCCACGAGCACCTTCTGACTCCATTCCATCACTACATCTTTGCCAGGTGAAAATGCCCAACATCTGACTTTCTAGATCCCAAAAACACTAAACAGATTGATATACAGCCACTTTTCCATTCATCTTCTAATCTTCCCTCACTATCTCAAATAATCTTTCCTTTTTTTGATTTTGTATTGCACTTCAGAGTTTCACATGTAAGCACATAAAACTGTTTCACACAGTTCTGTATTTGTGTTTGGATTATGTTACTCACTAACATGTCCAGAGTTTATTTAAAAGTTTATTTTACCAGAGACTATAAGCTGAGTGCTCACGAGCACAAGCTACAGTGTCTGTTAAAGAAAAATAAGCTGAAGAGGGGAAAAAAGTAATGAAAATATCCAGAACTGTAATTATATACAGGAGGTATTCAAAAAATACATCGTAATTCACAATCTACACAATGTCTCACTAATGTAATAGTGCAGCAAAAACCAGCAAATGCCTTTGCAAAGAAGTCATGACTATGAAACCATCTACTATAAATGATGTGTACCACCTTTCTTCCCAACAAAAAAGGGTCCCCTGAACGAACCCTCCTGATTCTCTCCTCAGCTGAACATCAGAACTACCTACAGTGCTTTAAAATTTTAAAGTGCAAGAAGCTAATCTCAAAAATCCAGATATGATATTTCTACAATGAGTCCCCGCTTTCATTCTTCATAAAGCTCTACAAGGGATTCTAACAGCCAATTCTCAAAGCAAATGATTACATTGTAATGACTAAAATACACTACGGAAAAATTAACTTGTGGGTCGATTGTGGCATACTGATGAAGTAGTGGGTGAAAGGATGATGAACTGTAGCAGTGCTTCTAATTTCTTACCTTCCCTTGCTCTTTAAGTGACTGAAAAAACAAATTATGTTTTCCATTTGAGGACTAAGAACAGATTCAAGCAGCGCAGAAAACAAACAATGTTGACAAGTTCGAATATATTCTTCACTCTTCACCTTCCTTTCTAACAAGCTCCTGTTTCCCCCAAAATCCCTGTCTCCCCCAGGCCCCTGGGCCCCGTGCTAACACATTCTATATCTGTAGAGACGCTTTTGGTTAGAAAAGCATTTTTTAAAAATTTATTTATTATTATTGGTTTTGTTATGTATGTGTTGCTGGGGATCGAACCCAAGGCCTTGTGCATGCAAGGCAAAAGCTCTACCACTGAGCCACATCCCCAGCCCCCTAGAAAGGCTTTTATAAACAGTACTTCATTTAATTTCTCAGAGATTCCCTGACGTTGTGACATTATCATTGCCATCGTTATATGAAGAATCTGAAGTTGAAACGGTTTAATGGTTTGTACGAGATCATAAAGTCAGTAACCCAGGAGAAATTTCTCCGCTACCCATTTTTCCACTCCCTTTCAGGTACCTCCCCCGATTCCATTCAAATATTTCTCATAACCCCAAGACCTTACAACCCTAATAAACTATTGGTTATCTGGCTCCTTTACGGGTCCCTACTTTCTCCTCCTCCCTCCCCATTACTCATGCTCTCCTGTCTCTTTCCCAAGTGCACAATTTAGTAGGTAAACCGATGAGGTGGAAAAGTAAAGGAGAAACGGGGCAGAGGCAACTCCGAACCCAAACAAACCAGACTGCTCAATGAGTTGGCGGGACAGCATTCGCGAAATCTTGGACTCCTGTCTCAGAATCTCGATCAGGGGCCGCAGTTTCCTTTGACACTTACGTGACATTGGCAAAGCCCGAACAAGCCAGGGATTAGAGACGGCCGCCATCTTTTCCCATAATCCTCCTCGGCTCACATTCCGGCCGACTACGGCTACTCATTTGAGCCAAAAATTCTTTCCCACGGCAGTCTGCGGAGGCGCTAACGCGGAAGTGAAGAGATTGGTTATATAGGTTGGGCGGGAACGCTGTTGAGAAGGAAGCTTGGAAGGCAGAGGGGTCAGAAGGGAGGGAAACGCAGAAAGGAAGAAAGAAAAAGAATTTTTGAATCTTAGTTCTGGAATGGACCATAAAGATACGGGCATATTGCTAAAGAACCTGAAATTCAGAGCCAGCCGGGGACTGACTCAAGGCAATACAAAATGGCAGAACCCGAGGTGGAGGAGCTCAATTTTCCCTTGGTTCGGGCATATTGCTAAGGAACCTGAAATTCAGAGCCAGCCGGGGACTGACTCAAGGCAATACAAAATGGCAGAACCCGAGGTGGAGGAGCTCAGTTTTCCCTTGGTTCTGTGTTCCCTGACAAGGACCAGAGAGGGCAGCCCTGATGAGGGCCAAGGATAAAGAGGAGGTGTGGCCCTGCGCTCATAAATTCCAGGAGAAAGGGTGTAAAAGCAGTAGTAGAAATAGAAATGCACCCTAAACAGAAGCATCCCTAGTCTGGCCCAAGCATTCTTTTGTCAGGGCCCTCTCCTTTGATGTCCCTTCCCAGGCATTGCTCAGTCTCTGGGCTTGGGTGACTTCTTTGGAGGCTTCTCTGACTGCTTTACCAAAGTAGTGATCATTCCATTTACTGTGTTTTGTTTTTTTAAAACAAAGTACTTACCAGCTATGGATGAGTCCAGGAGTTCTTAATCTGGAGTGCGATTCCTGAATGGGCTTCAGGAAATCTCAAACCCCTAAAGTGGTATGTAAAATTCAATGGCCCCATGTACCATCTGCACATTTTTCTATCAGAAAACTGCAGGTGACCCTCTGTAGTGTAACCGTTTCTAATTTTTTTTTTCCTTTAAACTAAGGATCCCTTTGAGAATCTGCATTGTTCTAAAAAGAGACAGGTGGAGGCTGAGAAGACACCAGGAAAAAAAAATTTTCATTTTAAAATACATTCTGCCAAGCATGGTAGCTAGTGCACACTTGTAATCCCAGGCCATCGAAGGCTGAGACAGAATTGCCAAGAGTTGGAGGCCATCCTGAACTACATAGTGAGACCCTGTCTTCAAAATATAAAATACTTTCTTCTGGTCACCTCTTGAAATCCCTGAGAGGACAGTCAATGATTCTGTAAGACATGCACTGTGGACTTATAAGAAAGCAACCGAGTTTGGGCAAATCTTCCTAGATTTGGTAATTCCTTCAGTGATTCATCGGTGTTGCTGGGACGGACAGCAAGCCTATAGGGAGTAGGGGTTGCCTGTTATTAGGCATGTAAGACCCCATTTCAGTTCTATCCCACCCTACTGCTTACTAAAGTGTCACCCAAGTTGAATTAAAAGAGGAAAGAAATCTTTGAATTTTGTCAGAGAAGCTTAGTAATGCTATATTATCTCTCTTTTTGTGCCTCATTCTGTGTTCACTTAGTGCTCATTTTGTGCTAATACTGTACTTGACTAATATACTAACATTTTCCTGGAGCTGATAATTTGACATGCCGCACTATTGTCCACATCCTCATATCTCCTGTTTAACAGTTATGTAACATCCCTTAGTCAAACACTGCCTCACAGTCTCAATTGTAATTTCAGAGTATACAGGTATAGTTGATTTGTTTTTTTTGGTTTTTTTTTTTTGTTTTTTTTGGTTTTTCTCCGGTACCAGGAACCGAACTCACGGCCTTGCACTTGCCAGGCAGGTGCTTTTGCCGCTGAGCTAAGTCCCCAGCCCCAAAAGGCAACTGGTTTTTTTTTTGTTTTTTTTTTTTGTTTGTTTGTTTTTCTCTGGTACCGGGAACCGAACTCACGACCTTGCGCTTGCCAGGCAGGCGCTTTTGCCTCTGAGCTAAATCCCCAGCCCCAGGTATAGTTGAAAGAACATTGATTTTAACATCTGGAATATTAAATCCTCCAGTGCCACTTCTACCATTTATTAGTTGTGACCCAAACAAGCTTCTACACTTAACAGGGAAAATAATACCTGACCTGTTGTCTTGAAAGGTTATTGTGAGAATCAGATGATGTACTGAATGTGAAGAAACTTTGTCAACAGCAAAGTGCTATGTGCAGATATATGATCTTATTGGAATAACCACTTATGTATCCAAATTATTGAATGCCAGAGGTGGAATCTTCAGAAGCCAACAGACCCAGTGCATTTATTTTTATTTTTATTTTTTTTTTTGGTTTTTCTCTGGTACCGGGAACGGAACTCACGACCTTGCGCTTGCCAGGCAGGCGCTTTTGCCGCTGAGCTAAATCCCCAGCCCTGACCCAGTGCATTTTAAGACAGAAACTGAGACCTAATATAAAGTATAATGACTTAGTTGAAGGAAACCTGTAATAAACTAGTCACTTTAGAATATTGCAATTTTAATCTACACCTTGTCTTTTCCTTGATTTGAGATTTTGTTTCATGGAAACTATGTTTCATATCATTAAAGAGTATCTATGGCAACATTTTCAAAGAAAGTGTATTGAAAAGTCTTCCTTAATCTACAAGGAATCACAAACCAAATGGCTCTTGGTCTTTTTATTAAGTGTTGCAAAGAATAAATTATCACTACTTAATTTCAGATCATCAAAGATAAATTATAACCCAGAGGTGGCCAGGTTAGGCAAAAGATCCCGAAAGTTTTTTTTCTTCTTACAGATAAAATGCTTTCAAGAAGTCCAGGCTGGATCCTAAAAATGAAGTGATTCCATAGGCTTCGTGTAAGAAGTTTAGGAGACCTTCAATTCTTTTGTTTCACATTCTCTTCTGCAGCTATCTGGATTTGTTAGTATATATTTACTCTGCTGTTTTAAATGGAATCCATTGGTAAAATTTTCCTTCCTATACAACCCCACCTAAATTAAACATTCAAAGAGAAGTAGGAGAAAGCAAGCATATTCCTTTCAAAGTAAACACCAGAGCTTTGGGGTGTAGCTTTGCCTCTCCTCTTGTCCTTTCGATGGCTAATTGTTGATACCTTACAGTGTTGCTATAGAGACAGTGATATCACCAGTTGGGATTCTGATGTCATCCTCCAGTCCCAACAAAGGGGAGGTGCATGGAAGGCTGGGGGAGGAAACAAGATCTTGAGCTGAGCAAGAACATCCCAGCATCTTCACTGACTTTAAAAGTATATTGTGGAATCTTCTGTGGTTCACTAGTCCAGAGCTACAGAGGTAGGAAATCTTAGTGGACTGATAAAACAGCCCATTTGCTAAACTTCTGTGACTAGAAGGGAGAATTCATGTGACAAGTGTTGGGCAAGCTTATGTTTAACCTAGCCTTGTTCTTCTGCCCAACCCATTTTAATTTTGCCTTTGAATCCTCTGGAAATGAGTCTCTGCCTCAGCAGCATTACACCTACCAACTTTACTGCTCATGTTCTGATTTCGTTGACAAATTTAACCAGATCTCTCTGGCCATCCTTTAGCGAGTAAGAGAGGTCTTTCTCCCTTCTCTGTGTGGCATCAAGAGTGGAAGCTTGCCTACTTACTGACTTTTTGTTGTGTGGTTGTTCCACATGTTTTCTTTTCTTTCTTTCTGTTGTTCCAAGAGTCAAATCAGACTGTTATACCTCTGAGCCCAATTCTCAACCATTTTAATCCTCTTGTTATTTTTAAAGCCTTGGTAAGACAACAGATTACTGGGGATGGACAGGATTTGTATAGCTATGTAGACAAAGATTCTGAAGAAGCTATTATTACTAAAGAAAAGGAAAAATAAGGGTTCCATGGGAAAGCATAACAATGAATAGTGAAAAGAAACAATCTTTATTTAAAACAAAATCAATTGACATTTTGATATCAGCAACAACCAAATTCATTGAATTTCTGCAGTACAGCAGACACTTATAGAAAGGGAGAGAAAAGCTGGTCATTGTGACACACACTTGAAATTCTCGCACTCTGAAAGACAGATGTGAGAGAATTGCAGTTAAGAAAATAAATAGACAAAAAGGGTTGTGAATGTAGCTCAGTGTAAAAGCCCTGGATTCAATCCCCAAGATTGCAGGGGTTGAGGAGGGGAAGGAGAGAGAAGAATGAATATATATCGACCAACCCTTCAAGGGCTTCATTTATGCTGCCTATAATAGAGTTTTAGAAACCTTTTGCTTAAGATGGATAGAGGAGAATATGTCTTGAAATGGAGCTGTGGTCTAAACAACATCAACCACACTGCTTTATTGCTTATGCCCTCCCACTGGCAATCATGATTTGCACTGCATCCTCCTCAATTTGAGGTAATAATCACAATAGTAGTTTTGAAGAATATTTTAGTTTAACTCTCTCTACGGCCACAGAATCACTCTGTTGGCCATAAGAAAATTCCACAGCTTTGAGACCATTAAACTCCAAAGCTAGAATATCTACAGAAATATCCACTGGTTCTAATGTTGCCTTTCTGGGCCTTAGTTTCCTAATATGTATGATGAGGGTGCTAGAATAAATGATGTATATAGATATAGATATATTTTATAGAGAGATAGTTTTCTGTTTTCAAATTAGACGACACGTTTTTAAAATTTTCACCGTATTTCTAAGGTATTATTACCAACTTTTAACTCATAGAAATGTATGTATTCCTTCATTAACTCTGCACAACTCTTCCTTTTTCACTTCATTATGGGAAATGTACACATTGATTTGGAAGTCTGAGATCACTGTCATCCAAAAGTATTTGCTACTTTGTATAAGCTACCATCCAGAACAAGTTAGGGAGTTTTAGTAGGCAAAAACAAACTTGATGAGTACAGATAACCACCTAGAGAAAACAGAAAATAGGATGAACATTAGGACGTATATAAATTGTGTTTGCTGGATATATTTGACTAGTAAGTGCACTTTCTGTGAAAAGAGTAAATGAGGGCATGTGGGGGGAGTGTTGATTTATTAAAAATTATTGGAACAGAAGGGTCTGTTAGTAAATCATTGCATAAGTCTCCAAAGTGTCAACTTCAAGAAAATCTGTAGGGAACAGGGAAGGATGGCAAGGGAAGAGGCTGAAAAAAAATGTGTACATGTACAACCCTCCCATAATAAATGTTATTATGTACTGCAAGCCTGCACCACTAAAAAAATAAAATGCAGATCTTAAAAAAAAACCTGCATGTATGCTTCAGCATAATAGAAAATTTGAACAAGCCAGTTCTTTTTCGTTCTCAGATTCTCCAATTTATAAAAGAAACAAAACTGGTTCCTTGGAACTAGAGATTGGCAGAATTTGTATATTCATTCTTCTGCGTATAATTTTTAAGCACCAACTTTAATATACTATTAAATATATTATGTATAGTAATTATTATATATAATATAGTATTATATATAGTAATATACTATTAACTATATTAATATACTATTAATATACAAGAAATACCAAGATGACTAATAAAGTGCTTCTGCCCTCATGAAGCCATCTACTAAAGGAGATAAAATAATGTGAGCCATGAACAATCTTAGATGAGATTTAAAAGTTAAAACAAAATGAAGTTGTAATGAAATAAGATGCAAACTTTGATGAGGGAGCAGTTACATTCCACTAAGATCTTAGGAAATATTTCGTGGACAGGATAACTTTTGACCTGGACTTTGAGTAAGGATGGAGTTCAGAGAGACATTGAGAGAGGCTAGGGGCTGGCCTGCTGGGCAGGTATTGCAAAGTGGGAGTACAATACCTTAGTGTCTTCTGAAATGTCTCAGTGAGAAAGCCTAAGAAAGGTCATTGGACTGGAACCCATTAGCTACCAACTCTCTTCATACTGTGAGGATGCATATTATTCTCAGGTCCTCAAAGGAGTACTCACAAAATGTTTTGAGATCCATGAACTCAGGGTATTTATTATCCATTCCAGCTATTTATCTCCAAATTCTTATTTATGCAAATTTAAAACTTTTCAGTGTCCTCATAGTTCAATAAGCTTATATAACAATGAGTTTGAGGCAAATAATAACATTAGTCAATTAAGAAATTATTGGACATGAGATGAAACTTTTTGTCTCTTAAACTTTTGTCTCTTTGGAATTGTCAAAATGCACCAAGAATCAAGAGTGAATGTTGTTTTGTACTGAATGCATGTATGTGTGTGTATGTATGAAAATAATGAGTCAAAATCATTTTTGGAAATAAGAGCAATAAAGTTTCTATATGAAATTAGGCATTTCATTTTTGTCTTTCCATTGCAGATTCCTTATATATTACATGGCAGGAGGTGTAGGTAAACTTAGTGGTAGGACATCAAATTAATCAAGAACTTTCCTCATATCTCAGAACCCATCCTCAGTAAAAGTAAGTAATCATATAATTTTCTTACTTTCTAAACTTAATTTTCATCTTTTGAATTATAGAATGTAAGTTAAATAAGGCAGTAGATCCTATTGATTTTTTCATTTTCTATTAGAAGCAACACACAAGGGTGATTATAAATGACAATAAGAGGCATATATTTCTGGCTCTCACACTGTTTACACTTTAGGACAATCTTCTAAATCTACTCTTTCACCAAGTAATAGTACCAGTAATTTTTTTCTTCACAGTCATGATTCATACCTAAGAATGTTTGTATATAATAGTGAGCTGCTGCAGACAATACCAAGTTTAACTTCACAGACATTAAAAACTTTGTTCAGGTGACCAAGCAAGATACGCTACTAAACAAGCAAACAAACAAAATAAGATACTAAAAGGGGTGAGGAAATCTATTTCAGACAAAATTTTTAAAGAGTAAATAATTATCTTTCCAAAGCTGGCCATGATTCTCAGAGGGAATCTCTCCAGATAAACCCTGGTCCAGGAATTCTCACTGGGACATGTTTAAGTAATTTAATGCCTCAGTTCTCCCAATCCAAAACCATAAAAATGGGCTGGGGATTTAGCTCAGCGGCAAAAGTGCCTGCCTGGCAAGCGCAAGGTTGTGAGTTCGGTTCCCGGTACCGGAGAAAAACCAAAAAACAAAACAAAACAAAAAAAAACCATAAAAATAAGATTTTCTGAGGTGGTAACTGAAATCTGACATCTTTACATGGTTCTCTTAGTTATCATAAGGGGTAGTAAACATGAAGAAGCCATTCCTAACTCAATGAATCATTTACATGATGGTGAGTGGAAGAGTAATTTTTAAAAAATAGTTTTTCTAGCTTAGAAGTTCAAATCATTAATTGGGGTGTGAAAATGGGAATCAATCCTTGTATGAACAATGAATAATTAGGTCATAAAAGATATATTTTCTTCTTAATAATTATCCATAATATTCTGCATAACAAAAATAATACATTTCTTATATATATTTAAACATGTATTTAATCTGTTTTTTACTTGTATTGGCTTTATTTTGAGGGAAGATGTGTAGCCCATGATAGCCCAAAGTTTTTTATTTTTGTTTTTTGAGACAAGGTCTCACTATGTAGCCCAAGCTGGTCTTGAACTCAATATGGAGCCCAGGCTGGCCTCAAACTCACAGTGATCCTCCTGCCTCAGCCTCCCAAGTGCTAGGATTACAGGCATGTGCCACCATGTCAGCACAGCCCCACGTTTTTTAAAACAAATATTTTCAGTTAACCAGCTAGCCATGCCCAAGTAATGCTCTACTTATTTCAAGCAATCTTTTATAAACCACAATTCCAGCTTAAGATAACCTGTTGGGCTTTATTATAATTGAATTTAAATGAGTATTTTATCAAAGTCAAAATATAAAGATATATGTCTATTTCATGAAGATACTCAGGACATGATTAGGCAGGAAAAATCAAGCATCTCATTCCATCTTGTCCTTTAAGCAAATCTGAGTGAGCAATGTTTGTGGAGAAAAAAGGGAAATTTCAGTGTGGAAGGCAGGAAATGACAGACTGACATGAAAACAGAGGCAAAGAGAAGCTACCCACCCCTTTAGACTATGAGTGGATAATGTAAGTTATAACAGTAGTTGGTCGTGTCCTCCAAAACAACCAAGAGGCATTATTATGAGGAGTGAACAGAAAGAACTAACAACAAAGGCCAAAAGAGTATGTGGAATAAGGACATGAGTTGGACCAATGAAGACAGGGACTATGAGCAGTGCATTTAAGAAAAATGAGTGCAGTGGAAGAGAAAAGTAGTAGCTAAGGGGTGAGAGAAGACAACTCAAATGAATCTCAGCTTTCTGGCTGAGAAGATCAGGTACATGGTAAAGCCTTTACTGAGATGTAAGAATACAGAAAACTGTTTTGAGGGCTGAGAACAAATCCACAACAGGAGAGACACTTGATGGTACAGATAGCATCTTTGTATGGCATTAGAAGTTTGGCTGAACCAGGGGACTAAGAATTCCCCTGGGATCCTTGGCTGATTGGAGGAGGAACTGGTCTTACAGAAGCTGCTAAATGCACTGTTCTAGAAATTAGTTAAAAATAAGGCATCTGGGTCTTCAGGAACCCTGGTGAGCCACCACCACAACTCCACAACCAGCGTGTGAGGCAGGTGGAACACCAGGCACCTTCTGGGACCTTGGTGGCCACTCCCAGCACACCTAGCATGCCTGCAGGTGTTGGGCTGAACCCCCAGGCATCTTCAAGAACCCTGGTGAGTTGTGACTGCAACTCCCTAACCATCATGCGAAGCAGGCAGAGCCCCAGACACCTTCTGGGGCTTCAGTAGCCACTCCCAGCACATTTAGTGTGCCTGTGGGAGCTGAGCTGAACCCTGAACATCTTCAGGAACCCCAGTGAGACACCCCCATACCTCCCCCACTAATGTGTGAGGCACATGGAGTCCTGGCAGATTTCTCAACACAACCATCAAGTCAAGAAGAGCCTGGAGTGAAGTATTTCAGGTACTGACAGAAAGCAACTTCCAACACAAATTGATGTACTCTGCAAAACTATCCTTCAAATATAATGGAGAAATAAAATATTTTCAAGATAAAGAACAACTGAAGAAATTCATGAGTACCAAATCAATACTACAAACAATACTAAAAGATATTCTGGAAAGAGATAAAACAGACCATAACTTCAAGAACACCCACAGAAAAGAACCACCAAGCAGAGCAAGCAATTAAACAGAGGGAAAAAGGAGGATTCACCACCAGGAAAATAACATGACAAAAATAAACCAGGGCATATCCGTTATAACCATCAATGTAAATGGTCTCAATGCACCAATCAAAAGAAGCAGACTGGCAGAGTGGATCAAGAAACAAAATCCAACTATATTCTGTATACAAGAAACACATTTAATTCAAAAGGAAATTCATAGACTGAAAATTAAAGGATGGGAACAATACACCATGCAACAGGAACCCAGAAAAAAGTGGGTGTAGCTATTCTGTTTGCAGATAATGTGAACTTCAAACCAAGAACAATCAAAAGAGATAAAGAAGGTCATTACATACTTGCTCTTCTTGACTTGATGGTTGTAATGCTGTACCTCAAACTTCAAGAGGAAGAGAAAACAATAAAAAACTTCAAGAGGAAGAGAAAACAATAAAAAACATCTATGCACCAAATATAGGAGCACCCACCTATATAACACAAATTTTAACGGACATGAAAAATGAAATAAGTAGCAACACAATCATAACAGGGGACTTTAACGCACCATTGTCACAAAGAGATAGATCAACTAGACAAAAAAATTGGAAAAGAAATAACAGAACTTAACAAAACTTGTGAACAAATGGGCTTTGTAGACCATTACAGAGTGTTCCAGCCAACAGCATCAGAATAAACATTCTTCTCAGCTGCACATGGGATTTTCTCTAAAATAGACCATATGCTAGCACATAGAACATGCTTAAGTAAATGCAAAAGAACTGAAATTACCCCATGCATACAATTGGACCATAGTGCAATGAAATTGGAAATTAATTACAAAGAAGTCACAAAAACTACATAAACAGTTGAAAGTAAATAACACGCTCCTGAACAACCAATGGGTTACAGATGAAATCAGAGAGGAAATTAAACATTATTTATAATCAAATTAAAATATAGATAGAACTTACAGGAACCTGTGGGATGCAATGAAAGCAGTCCTCAGAGGGAAATTTATAGCAGTAATTCCCACCTCAGGAAAACAGAACAAGCACAAACAGAGAATTTTATGCTTCACTTCAAGCTTCTATAAAAAGAAGAGCAAGTCAAACCCAGAGCCCAAAGAAGACAGGAAATTATAAAGCTCATGGCAGAAATTAACACAATGGAGACTAAAAAACAATACAAAGAATTAATGGATTGAAGAGTTAGTTATTTGAAAGAATAAATAAAATAGATAAACTCCTAGCCAACCTTATCAAAAAAGGAAAGAAAAAACTGAAATACATGCAATAAGGAATGAAAGGGGTGAAATCACTACAGATCCTGAAGAAATTCAGAAGATCATCAATACCTACTTTGGAAATCTTTACTCTCATAGGGTAGAAAACACACAGGAAATGGATAGATTTCTAGATACATATGAATTACCAAAGCTGAATGAAAAAAGATATAAAAATCCTGAATAACTCAATATCAGCTAGTGAAATTGAGAATGTCATAAAAAACTTGTCAGTGCAAAAAAAGTCCAGGTCCTCATGGATTCACAGCTGAATTCTAGAAATTTAGAGAAGATTTAACATCAATTCTTCTCAAACTCTAATGAAATTGAAAGGAAAGGAATTCTCCCCAAGTCCTTCCTGGAGGCAAGTATTATCCTAATACCAAAACCAGAGAAAGACCCAACCAAAAAAGAGAACTATAGGCCAATCTCCCTAATGAATACAGATGTAAAAATTCTCACTAAAATACTAGCAAACAGAATACAACAAATCATCAAGAAGAGTATACACCATGATCAAGTGGGGTTCATCCCAGAAATGCAGACATGGTTTAATATACACAAATCAGTTAATGTAATATACCATATCAAGAGAACCAAAAACAAAAATCACATGATCATCTCCCTCAATGCAGAAAAAGTGTTCAAAAAAGTCCAACACTTATTCATGAAAAAAAA